TTAAAATAAAATAAATGAAAACCAAAATAAATAAAGTGTATTACATTTAAAATGAATGAATAAATAAATAATAAAATAAATAAATACAATTTTAAAAAAACAACAATAAAAAAATTAATTAGTTAAAAATTAATTAAATGAAAATAAATTAAATACTAAATTAAAATAAATAAATTTCATTTAATCAAACAAAACAACTGGATTGTTATTGGTCATTCACAGTATTAAAATATGAAATACTAAATCAATTTAAAATACTAAACTAATTTAATTTCAACCATGGACCCGCAAATATTTACTGGACCAAAACTGAGACCACAGAACTGTGATACAAACTGAACCATGAGAAATTAGAACAGCTAAACCCCTCAAGATCAAAAAAACAAAGGATCTGGCTGCTCATAGATTACATAATAAAAGTCAAATTGGTATATAATTAGGTAATCGTGATTACCGTGAAACCTAACCAATGTATAGTTGACATTTAAAGGCTAAATGCTGTAGAAAAGCAAGTTTTTCTGGAAGAGTGTTTTCAGCTTGTTAACGTTCATATGAAAATATGGCATGCAGTAGCTTCAAACAATGGTATAAAGCTATTCAAAACATCATTCAATGTAAATCGTGATAATAATCGCAATTACAATTTCAAGGGAATAATCGACAATTATGATTTTTGTTGTAATTGTGCAGGTAATCAAATAATCAAATCTTAATGGTGCTAAAACTACATTTTGTCGCCATTCCAAAACAAAATTAATGCACATTAATAAAGGGGGTTTGGGGGTTTTCTAAGACAACAAAAGAATGTAAGAGATTTTAAAGACGGAGAGAGAGAGGAGTGCTGCTTACGACGGCAGCGCGTCCTTGAGCTTCATACGGGACACGTCGTCATACAGCGCCACAGACAGCACCTCCTCCATGGGACAGATGAGACCGTACTCCTCACAGCCGTTCTCGATCACCAGCGGGTCAGATTTGTGCGGGTCAAACATGATGTTGTTGGGCGTTATAATCATCACTCCTCCCACAACTCCCTGCAGGACAAAAATAAAACAGAAGCCTCATTTAAAGGGATAGTTCACCCAAAAATGAAAGTTCTGTCATTAATTACTCTAAACCTGTATATTTTTGATACTCTGACTCTCCCATAGACAGCAATGTAATCACCACGATCAAGGTGCAGAAACGGTCAGCTGCGTCACGCGGATACATTGTTTTCGTTCAATTTAAAATGTAAACAACGTAGAAAACTTATGACGCAGCTGACACAGAATAGCATACGCTGTTTGCATTCAGAGGATATTCTCCTAAATGGCGCTACAGTGTGACGCGGAGCAGACGAATTGTTGAATAAAGTCGTTATTTTAGTTTTCTTTGATATTGAGATCTCTTTAATACTTCTTGAGTTACAGGCACACCGTCAGCTGCGTCACGCGGATACATTGTTTTCGTTCAATTTAAAATGTAAACAACGTAGAAAACTTATGACGCAGCTGACACAGAATAGCATACGCTGTTTGCATTCAGAGGATATTCTCCTAAATGGCGCTACAGTGTGACGCGGAGCAGACGAATTGTTGAATAAAGTCGTTATTTTAGTTTTCTTTGATATTGAGATCTCTTTAATACTTCTTGAGTTACAGGCACACAAACTTTGGAAAAAGAGTATTCTGTCACTCAGACAGGTATGGTCTATGAAATTGTCTTGATAGAGAGAAACGAGATACTTTTCTAGTTTTAACATTATTTGTTCTTCAGACATTCCTCTTTAAAAGAACAAAGTATCAGCAGAATGCAAAGTGACCCAGATTTGGTTTTTGACCATGGAATGTGTTTACAATTTAACAATTTACTCCTGGAGCCCTATTGAGTTCCCAATATCTCTGGAACTGAACCATATAGGGCCTTAAAAATATACATGCCAAAAGAAATGTTGGTTAAGAACCCAAATCTAAAAGAGCATTAAGATACCTTTAATACTTCTTGAGTTACAGGCATGCAAACTTTGGGGAAAAAACTTGAAAAGTGCTTTTCCCCCACTTTTGAACGGTCACCGTTGGCATATAATGCAACAAAGATTGCTAAAGTCAACAGATTTTACTAATAGACCCTTTGCTTGGTTTCTCTACATAATCCATTCACAACTTGAATAAAATTTTGTTTGTCTAATAAGAGGACCAAACGTCCACGTATACGGTTTCAGAAATGATAAACGCGAGTGTATAAAATTACGCGAGTCAATCCGTGAAAACATCTGACAAGCCGATGTCAAAAACAGAGCGTGCATTAAGTGATTCAGACTACATTCAAAGAAACAAAAATCTGCAGAAGCAACAAGTCTGTGTTGGCTGAATAGATTTAGCAGCTTCTACAGTTAAAACATAAATTCACTGATTATTGTTCAGTAAAGTAAAAGCATTTGTTATAATCAGGGGTGCACATAAGCGGTACGCAGGTGCGCATGCATGACCAAATTAAAAACTGCTCATTTGCGAAGCGACATTGTTGACAGCTGTTAATGCACAATCACTGTTTTAGATCGACTAATTGTGATACTGTATAAGATTTTCAGTCAAATCAAAAGCATAAATCCAGGCAATGGCCTGCCAGTTTCACAGCAAAATGCAAAATGGACATTTCATTCACTGACGCCCTTCACTCGGCAGCGCATATACTTACTTGCTGATTTTAGGTTTGAAAATTATGAAAATTCATGAAAAAAAAGAAATAAAAAAATATATGATTAACATTGTATTTTTAAGTGTACTATAAAATAACTATTTTTATTTAATACTCAATTTATTTTAACATATAATAGTATTATCACACTGATTTTATTTATTTTATTAAAATACAAAATAAATAAATGCAATAATACTATTAATAATCATTATTTTATTTTTATAGCTATATTTAATGAGTCACACTGTGCAGTGAGTATCAAACCAAATCTCCAGGTGCTCTAATGAGAACCAAACCGAAAAACTTATATGCACCCTTGGTTTTAATAGTCATTTTATAATAAATCCCAAAAAATAGGGAGTTGAAATGGCAACTGAGCTAATGAGTGATGCTCTGCTGCCATCTACAGGTTATAATGCTAATTTCATGCCATTTTCAACTTAAAAGTCTTTGTTTTCCACCAGGATATATTTTTTCATGCCATCTTCATGAATGAAACGTGAATCTTTAAAGTGCCTTAAATGTAAGGTATTACATGTCTGGGAACTCTCCTGGGATAACAAGCTCGGCATATACAATTATATGTTGTTAAAGGGGTCATCGGATGCCTATTTCCCACAAGTTGATATGATTCTTTAGGGTCTTAATGAAAAGTCTGTAACATAGTTTGGTTAAAATTTCTCAATGGTAGTGTAAAAAACAGCTTTTTTACCCTGTCAAAAACAACTCTTTTCAGATCAAGCCGCTTTGTAGCATTTCCCTTTAAATGTTAATGAGCTCTGCTGGCTCCGCCCCTCTCTTCCGAGC